TACAGGAGTGAGACAAGGAGGTTGGGGGAGGAACAAGGATTGGAGGATGGACAAGGATTAGAGGAGGACAAGAGGGTGGGGATAGGGACAGGGTGATGGGAGGAGGGATGGGGTTAGGAGGAGGGCTAAGGGGTTGAGAGGTCGAACAGGGTTGGGGTGAGAGTAGAGGGAAGCCTTTACTAACTGCAATGAAATTAAGACCTAGGTGCATCTGATGGGTGGGTGCAAATGCAGGGCCCCGAGGCTTAACCAAGATAATGAGGACACAATACTGTCCACATTATCCCATGACTGGAAAACACAGGTGTGGATGAGTATAAGTGCGCAGCACATGATCACAGCACCATCTCACAAGCTGAGGTTCCATATTTACTACGGCGTGTGAGATAATGAAGAAGTCAGAACATGATGACCTGGAAATCCAGGAAAATTCTTGGGGTTAATACATGACTTGCACAGAATGCAGAATCCTGATTTGGGAATCAAAGCAGCTGCAAATACAGGGTGTGAGCAATATCTTCTTTTAATAAGTAGCCAGGAGCATTTTGTTACCTTACTATATCAGCTAACTTGGAGTTTCAGAGAAAACCATATTCCTATTAGGAGAATTTTCAAGTTAAACGAGTGATGACTACAAAGCAATTTTTCTTTAGTGTTTGTTGAAAGTCTTCTGGATTATTCCAGCAGAGACCTGCCTTAGTAATTACTGCATGATGGACAGCTTGAGTTCCTTCTTTGATGTGAGGGAGGCAGGGACTCTGAGGCTCCAACAGAGCCTCAGAGGGGGACACTTATTCTCACTGTGCATTATTTGAGGAAATGATACACAATTCAAGAACTTGGGCTGACTCTAATGATTCTGACAGCTGGAAATTTGAAATGGTAGTATTTTTTTCAAATAAAGCATTCATTTTTCTTCACTTTCCCATTAAAAAAATAGAGTAACAAACTGTGTTAAATGAGCGACTGGTCACTGTCCTGCTCTGACAGGCTGCATGGCTGGTATGATCACGGTCAGACCGTGTGGGAGATGGTGGTGGTGCGGCTGTGTGGGGTCTGACCTTGTCATGCCAGCTTTCAGCTGGGCCCATGCTGCTTCTGTGGGGACCACTCACTTTTATGTTTCATTATGGTTTCTTTTCTGCCCCTGAACTGAGCCCTTTAGGGGCATCTGTGTTTTAGCTTCTTATCTTCAGCACAATGTGACTTAATAAATGCATTGTAAATGAAAAAATTAATGAAGAGGGCTGGGCGCAGTGGCTCATGCCTATAATCACAGCACTCTGGGAGGCTGAGGTGGGTGAACTGCTTGAACTCAGGAGTTCAAGACCAGCTTGAGCAAGAGGAAGACCCCATCTC